GATTTTCCAGTTCTGATTGTGGCCCTGTTTTTATTTTCATGAGATTAACAAAGGATTTCACTCGTTCTCGAATTGCAAATATAATTTTCTGTTCACGTTCCCATTCCTTATTTCCAACGCAGGACGATGTCATAATGAAAAAAAAAAACAAAACAAAACAAAAAACAAAATGAATTTCACTCATTCTCGAATTCTCTGATGACGTAAACCAGCTTCTTAATCACAAGCGGAATGTCTTCAGGCTTGATGTCGCAGTGGACGACCAGTCGAACCGTGGACGCCGTCATGGGTAGAACTCGCACGATGACCTCTTCTCCTGTCTCTTTTATTTCTTCCTTTTTGACCTGGTGTAGATTAACGAGAGGGTGTATAAAACAGGGAGTGATTACTTTTTAGACGATTCATTATCATGGTGGTATATATGTTGATTTATCACGCGTCATGTGAAATCTTTCACTAACATAATTAAACACACACCGGCGCACGCAGACGCACACACCAACAAATACACACACACATACAGATGCACACACAAATACACTCACACACTCAAACACATACACACACAGACACAGACGCACACATAAACAAACGCACACACATACACACCAACACACACAGAAACATGATCATGCGGGCTCACCTGCAGCAGCCGCTCGCACACCTGCTCGGGCCTGACGCGCTCAAGGTCACACTCGAGAAGCAAGATGTTGGTCTGTACGCCTTCAAGGTCGACCTTAATGACCTTGCTCCCGAGCTCATTAACGGCTGAGAACAGGAATGAACTTTCATGAAATGGGGATAAAAAGATTAGTCTAATATGTTCGTATGTTAATTAAATACACAATTCAATTTTGGTAAAAAAAATAGCGATTTTACTGAAACTCGATAAATGAATAGATAAATAAATAGAAAATTCACCCAAAGGATGTTTCGATATTTTCCTAATCAAGTTGTATTAAACTGATACAGATCAATCAATCAAATCTATCCGTCTATCTACCACTTTTATCAATACGTCCTCAAACGTCGTATCAACGACTATGCCTCCTGTGTGTGTGTGTGTGCAATCGTGCGTACGTGCGTGTGTGCGCGAGCGTGCGTGTGTGTGTGTGTGTACAATCGTGCGTGCGTGTGTGTGCGAGCGTGCGTGGGCGTGTGTGTGTGTGTGTGTGGTGTGTGTGTGTGTGTGTGTGTGTGTGTGTGTGTGTGTGTGTGTGTGTGTGTGTGTGTGTGTGTGTGTGTGTGTGTGTGCGCGCGCGCGCGAGCGTGTGTGTGTACACGTATGTGCGCCGTACCCCGAGCGATGGTCCTGACGCCGGCGTGGTCCCGGGCGAGGGCTGGCGCCACGTGGTCCAGGGCGAAGATTCCTGCGGCCGCAAGGACCCCCGCCTGCCGCATGCCGCCGCCCAGGGCCTTGCGCAGGCGGAGGGCGCTGCCAAAGACACAGGTCAGTAGAGTAAATTGTAGAGAAGGAAATACACAACAGGCAAAATAATGACAACAAAGGCAACAGCGACAATAATGATAAATAAGTAAATGAGAAATCAATGAAATGCAAAATAATGACAATAAAAACTAGAAGCACAGAAGGTGCATACCTCCGCCAAGGGAATTGAGTCACTGATGCAATAAAAATATTCACACGAAAAATTACAGTAAAATCTGTTTATGAAGTAAATTAGAGACGTCCGTAAACATAGTCTCTTTGGCAGAGGTAATACAGGTAATGATAATAGTTACCCCTATATATATGGGTAACATGCAGTCATTCAAAAAATTCCTGGATCACCACCAAAATTTAATGGCATCTAAGTTGGTAAAACATTCATTACAAAATGTTCATAACTTTTTGGGTTGTCCTGCTAACCAACTCACCAACACTACCAAAAACATAATGTCCTTGGTGAAGGCAATACAATAGTAACAAATCTAATTCATATGTTCTCTTCCGACACTCTGCCTCAGGATCGGCCAAGCACAGACAAATTGTAAAAGATTTTACGTTTGCAGCATTCGGGGAAACGACTCGAGGTGTCATGGCGTCTGATTTCATTTTTGGAAAACAGCACATAGGGGTCTATTTTGATGACGTCACAAAAGTTACGGATGCTTTGTGAATAGGGTCATCATTTTGGTCTCTCCAATTTTCAGAAAGAATGGAAAATAATGATTTTAATGGTTATATTGAACGATCATCAAGACACCTTGAGACCTTGATTTGCTACTGATCTAGTCTTTCCCGAGAGCTGTCCATCCGTGTCTACGGAAACGCAGAGGGTTGACTGAAATGACTCAGTTGCCCCTATTCGAATTCTTTAGCCAAGATACGGTCAGACTACCGGTAGATTTCACTGGAATCCAGCAATTTTCTTTGAGCTAGAAGCAACCCACCCATCCGTGGTGTTCACACTGCGAAAAGAACCATCGGCTTTGTCTAACCTATTCTTTGAGGGAGTAAACTGCTTTAGAATTCTACATTTCGAATCTTCACGGGATC